TTTAGAGCCTCGAAACGTTACGGGTTCAAACGATCACTGATTCGAATGTTGCAGCTTCAGAGTCTATAAGCAAACATCAGTATTATTCACATTGATACTTCTGATCGTATTGCTCCAGTCTTCTACTGAACGGTAAGCGATTAGACCACAATAGGGATTCTAACGTCCAACGGAAACGCAGCCATTTTGGGTACATAATAATAATAATAATAATAATTTATATTTGGTATAAAAGGGTAAGTTCACATGAAATGCAGATCATTTTTACAGGCACGATCAGTCATGTTATAAATTACAATCGTGAGGTATCACAAATTAGCACTTTTTCAAAGTTTAAATTGTTGGATTATTGTACAAGCAATCCGAACAGGTTCGTATAAATGTCAAATTGTAAATCCTTCACCAGGGTCACCATCAATGTTGAGTGCCAACCCAAACTTCGTTCCGTTTCTTGCTGATAGTTGTGGTTACTCAGTGAACAGCGTATATTTGGGTAAGTGTTATGCCCCCACGTGATTAAAAGCTATTTCAGGGAGAGGGGAACGTCCTGGGAAGCTGCAAAATTGTATAAAATACAATTATGGGTAAAACATCATTGGAAGTACATTTACAAGATATAAACATGAAGGAGGTGGAGACTCCTAGGAATGATAGTATAAATTTGCAGTGTTTAATGCTAACCATATTGGTCTAAGCATGGAAACTATGATGTCTTCGATAAAAATATAGCTTAGTTCAAACACTGGTGTTGTTGTTGTATTTTTCCACCAAAGAAACCAGACTTTAGGCATGCGATATTTTTAGCTCTATTGAAGGCCTAGCTAGTTAAGATAAAGTAGAGTATAGTAGTGGGTGAACAAAAAGATTATCCTGAGGCATGCAAATGATATTTCAATGAGAAGTGGCTTCAATGATCTGAAAGACTAGTACCTGTAGGACTGTAGTGACCCATTTTATTATTCATCATCGCAGTATACTTTCACTATGTAATTGGACTTTGATTTGTTTATCACTCTAAAGATTGCGTGTTAACAATTGATACTTTTGTACTCGCTCAACTTTTGAATTTTGATTACTGCCATAATACACGATCGTATTCCTTCACAAGTGCCTTTTGATTTACGTTGTGGATGTCGAGTAATCACAACGTTAGGAAACAATAATAAACGCGAAGAAGTACTAGGATATACGTGTACGCTAGTTTGGTGAAAAATAGAGCACCACAACAACTGGTGAGCCCGACATAGCTGATCGATCGACTACATCATTTTGAAGTATACACACAGTGGATTTAATCATCTTTGCTATCGTATTAACTTTTATAACTGCATAACATTTGGATATATATTTACTGACATTTTTGCTAAAAGTACCTCCGGTAAGCAGACCATTTTTGGACATTTTTTAACTTACCCATATTCTGTTCTGTTTGTGCTCACTTTTTGTATTTTTGCTATCACCTGTATATATTATTTTCTGCACTTTTGTAATGTCATTTAATACTGATAACGACACTTCAAGTACAAGGTCTGTGGCTGCAGTTACCATATCCATACCACCTTTTAAACCTAATGATCCATATTTGTGGTTCACTCGCCTAGAACACTACTTCCTAGCTAACCACGTCACTTCTCAGACTACAAAATTTGGCTATGCAAGCTCCATCTTACCGGACGGCGTAGCAGAGCAAGTATGGGAGACGCTCATAAATCCAGATCCAGAAACTCCCTACGATGTTTTAAAGCAGAAGGTTATTAAGGTTGCTTCATTATCAGATCAGACAGCTATTGATCAGCTGCTCAGCAATGTTGGTCTGGGTGATAGAACTCCTTCTCAACTCAAAAGCCATATGTGTAACATTTTAGAAGATCGGAAGGTAGACACCAGGTTCTTTTATCAATTGTGGCTAAGGCGATTACCCCACAACATTCAACAAGTATTAGCATTTGGAGATGAAGACATAAATATTGACAAGTTGGCAGAAATCGCTGACAGAATGTATGAACGGATTTCGCCACAAGTAACATCTGTAGTCGACAAATTGTCAAACGAACGCATAGAAGCCTTAGAACATAAAATAGACGTTCTGACCGAGCAATTAATGACAATGAGGGTTAATAGACAACCTATTACAACGTACAGAAGACAGTGTAGCCACTCACGCAATAGACGTAAATATAGCTTACAACAGACTATATGCTGGTATCATCGCGAATTTGGTATACACGCTAAACGGTGCACACAACCGTGTGTTTTCCAACAAACGGTGGTGTCGGGAAACGAAAAGGCCGGCGGTCGGTGACGACTGCGGTCGCTGGCCAACACCCGTCCCACAGCCGTCTATTCAGGGTGACAGACAAAATAACGGGGGCACAATTCCTGGTAGATACCGGTGCAGAAATTAGTATAGTTCCCCCAACACCCAGCGAACGCTTACAACCAAATCCAGCATCAGTTCTTGAGGCTGCGAACAATTCTACTATAAAAACTTTTGGAACTCGAAAACAAAAACTTAATTTTGGTTGCAGTACACCATTTGAGTAGGAGTTCGTAATCGCCGATATAACCTTTCCTATCATTGGGGTGGATTTTCTTCAACACTACGAATTGCTAGTCGACTCTAGTTACCACAGATTGATAAATAGCAGTCGTAAACTATCGATTTCAGGCATCTTCACAGATGTCGAGAGTATCCGCTTGATGGTAGCCACAGCAGATCAATTATCCATGTACGATATTTTGCTAAAGAAATTTCCTGAACTGACAGAGAGCGATTACTCCACAGCCTCTCTCAAACACAACGTAACACACCATATTGTAACTAAAGGTCCACCTGTCACAGCAAAACCACGTCGTTTAAATCTAGCTAAAATGCAAATAGCAAAAGCAGAGTTCAACAGATTGTTAGGTCTAGGAATACATTACAAATCATATTGCATCTAATTGCTCATTTCCAATTCATTTTAAATAATTAAATCTTATTCAAATATATCCTCTAATCGGATTATTCATTCTGGTGAGTATTTAATATTCTTAAAACCTACTGATCGGAAATACCATAAAAAAGACAAAAAAAGCATCATGCCGGGTGGCAAAGAGCCTTTAAAAAATACCCCTATTCAATTTATGACTGTTCCTGCAATTATGAGTACTAATTGTAGCTCCCTGCCAGCCAAGATTAACTGTCTTCAATCACTCGTGTCTTCCATTATATATCGAAATACTGGGATCATATCACTTCAAGAAACATGGCTACATGATCTATACAATGACAATCTAGTGTATCTGCATGATTTCAAATTATTCAGACAAGATCGGTGTAGTTTTAGGAAGAAACGTGGTGGCGGTGTCGCCATCTTCATTAATTCACAATAGTGTACATCTAATAAAGTATGTTTCAAATTCTCTAGTGAAAATATTGACTGCCTCACCGTTAAATGTCGACCTAAACATTTGTCAAAATATAACTACATATACATCTCGAACATTTATATTGCGCCTGGATGCAATTCCACTGAATTGTCTTTATTTGCGGATGAATTTACCTCCCTTGCTGCCACCTCCTTCGGAAACTCCTTGTCTATAGTTACTGGAGATTTCAATTCTAGTGATCACAGCTTCCTTATTTCACTTGGTCATGATAACATTGTCAACTTCCCGACTCGAATGGAAAATACTCTAGATCTTGTGTTTACAAATGACATAGGAATATTTGAAGCTCGGAAAAGAGTCCCACTACTTAATTGTGATCACTGCATCATAAGAGTATTGCCCAAAGTATATGGAAAGCAGCACAAAAGGGTCTTCTCCTACCTTCGAAAGAAAACACAACACAGATGTTATTCACATGACAACATACAGAATCTAAGGACAATGTTAAAAGACAAAAACTGGGACCTGTTTACTGAACAAGCTCTTGATAACACAATTAGTAACATAACACATTATCTTAATTTCTGTCTTGATGTTTGTTGTCCAAAAGAGACAATCTTCTTAAAATTCGACGGCTTCTCCTCTTCTCAACTCAAAAAGCTTCACCGTGAAAAAGAGGTTGTACAAAATGAAAAATAAATCTGGTGTTAAGAGAATGAGCACTTTGATTAAAGCCGAATTACAAAGACTAAGTGCTCTCTATAACCAGAAGTTTCTTTCATGTAAATCCTCATCTAATATGTGGAAGCTATTAAAGGAAATCACAGGTGGTAAGCAAATAATGAATGATACTTCTGTTGATGTTGATATGCTTAATAAATCCTTCATATGTATCCCTGCAGATGTTGTGATTCCCAAATCTAATAGTATAAATAATGACTGCTTCTCATGTTTTAACACGAATGATGTCCTTAAGTGTCTTCAATCTCTCAAACCTACTCAGTCCCTTGGTCCTGATGGAGTTCCTGCTGTTATCCTTAAGAAGTGTGCTGACATCTTATGTTACCCATTAACCGACATTTTCAATGAATCTCTTTCCAAAAGTATTATTCCTGACTCATGGAAAAATATCAAGGTTGTTCCGGTGCCTAAATCAACAAGTGGACCTACTGTTAAGTTTCGACCGATTGCTATTAGCTCACCTTTTTTAAAAGTTATGGAAAGACTTATTTTACTTAATCTTGAATCCTCTTTAAAGCCTTTCAATGACCCCAACAAGTTTGCTTATACACATAATAGGTGTACCTTAGATGCCGCTGTTGTTCTATATCATAATATGGTCTCTAGTTTAGATAGAGGAGCTAAATATGTTCGGTGCGCCTTCCTTGATTACACATCTGCATTTGACTCTGTACCTAGGTCTCTCTTGCTAAGTAAGCTTGCTGCAACACAGACTGAGAGCTGGACAAATAAGTGGTTGCATTCCTATTTTTCTGATAGGAAGCAGTACACCGTCTACAATGGAAAGTCCTCCACTACCTCACTTACTTTAGCTGATGTTCCTCAAGGTGCTGTTCTTTCTCCTTTTCTGTTTTCTTTTTTCTTACATGACTTGCCCCATTCTGATGTAGCCACTTTTGTCAAGTATGCTGATGACCTCTCTGTCTCTATGCCTGTCAACTCTCAGTCAGATTGTTCCAAATTAAATAACTTTCTGTCGGAAATTAGTCAGTGGTCCTCTTCAAACGGTCTTAAGCTGAATCCGTCTAAATGTCAGGTAGTAAATTTCACTTTCAGACGAAAACGTGACCTACAACAACTAGCTAGCTCACATGGTCCCACTATCATTGACGGCATAGAGGTTGAAATAACATCGTCAACTGAAAGCATCATTGATGGCAGTGAAGGATGATGATAAATGGAGCGATAAATTACCTCTTGTACTTCTTGGAATACGTTCGACAATAAAACAAGATATCGAATGTTGTCCAGCAGAATTAGTTTATGGAACTACTTTACGACTGCCTGGAGAATATTTCAACCCAGCCACTGAAGTTCCAATCGACGAAACTACTTTTGCACAACAACTGAGACAACATATGAGCCTTTTAAGATATCATCCTCCGCGACATCAGCTCAACCAAGCATACATGCCTCGAAAACTAGACGATTGCACTCACGTTTTCATACGACACGACGGTGTAAGGAAACCACTTCAACCACCTTATGACGGACCATTTAAAGTAATAAGCAGAACAAACAAAATCATCACTGTTGAACGCGGAGGAAAACACGAGAATGTAAGCATCGATCGCGTAAAACCAGCTTTCATGGAAATAGAGGTGACTGAATGTTTACCCAAATCAACATCACCTAAATTTGAGCCAAAAAATGAGTCCTGCTCTCAAGATTCAAAATCTGATGATATTCCGGCTAACAAAACAGAAAGAATCACAAGATCAGGCAGACGAGTACATTGGCCACAAAGATTTGTACAGACAATTCATTTCTAATTCATTTCCATACTTGCTTATTACTGTACTATTAACTGTATGTAAGATATAAATCTATTCTGTAGCTCTTTACAATAACAACCTCATTATTATTCTAATAATTTTTCTGGTTTCATTGTTACATTTTGCACAACTTTCTAAACATTTTGGTTCGTTTCAAAGTTGTTAACATTTTCGAACATATACAGTCAAATTATCAAACCTCAGAAAACTTAAAATCCTCAATTCGGTTTTCATACCAGAAACTCGTATATATTTCTCCTGTTATTGTAATTTACAATATCATTCCGAATACAGGTAAACTTCATTTACCTGCATTCTACGGAGGGGCTATTGTAGTGACCCATTTTATTACTCATCATCGCAGTATACTTTCACTATGTAATTGGACTTTGATTTGTTTATCACTCTAAAGATTGCGTGTTAACAATTGATACTTTTGTACTCGCTCAACTTTTGAATTTTGATTACTGCGATAATACACGATCGTATTCCTTCACAAGTGCCTTTTGATTTACGTTGTGGATGTCGAGTAATCACAACGTTAGGACACAATGATAAACGCGAAGAAGTACTAGGATATACGTGTACGCTAGTTTGGTGCTCTATTTTTCACCAAACTAGTGTACACGTATATCCTAGTACTTCTTCGCGTTTATCATTGTGTCCTAACGTTGTGATTACTCGACATCCACAACGTAAATCAAAAGGCACTTGTGAAGGAATACGATCGTGTATTATCGCAGTAATCAAAATTCAAAAGTTGAGCGAGTACAAAAGTATCAATTGTTAACACGCAATCTTTAGAGTGATAAACAAATCAAAGTCCAATTACATAGTGAAAGTATACTGCGATGATGAGTAATAAAATGGGTCACTACAATAGCCCCTCCGTAGAATGCAGGTAAATGAAGTTTACCTGTATTCGGAATGATATTGTAAATTACAATAACAGGAGAAATATATACGAGTTTCTGGTATGAAAACCGAATTGAGGATTTTAAGTTTTCTGAGGTTTGATAATTTGACTGTATATGTTCGAAAATGTTAACAACTTTGAAACGAACCAAAATGTTTAGAAAGTTGTGCAAAATGTAACAATGAAACCAGAAAAATTATTAGAATAATAATGAGGTTGTTATTGTAAAGAGCTACAGAATAGATTTATATCTTACATACAGTTAATAGTACAGTAATAAGCAAGTATGGAAATGAATTAGAAATGAATTGTCTGTACAAATCTTTGTGGCCAATGTACTCGTCTGCCTGATCTTGTGATTCTTTCTGTTTTGTTAGCCGGAATATCATCAGATTTTGAATCTTGAGAGCAGGACTCATTTTTTGGCTCAAATTTAGGTGATGTTGATTTGGGTAAACATTCAGTCACCTCTATTTCCATGAAAGCTGGTTTTACGCGATCGATGCTTACATTCTCGTGTTTTCCTCCGCGTTCAACAGTGATGATTTTGTTTGTTCTGCTTATTACTTTAAATGGTCCGTCATAAGGTGGTTGAAGTGGTTTCCTTACACCGTCGTGTCGTATGAAAACGTGAGTGCAATCGTCTAGTTTTCGAGGCATGTATGCTTGGTTGAGCTGATGTCGCGGAGGATGATATCTTAAAAGGCTCATATGTTGTCTCAGTTGTTGTGCAAAAGTAGTTTCGTCGATTGGAACTTCAGTGGCTGGGTTGAAATATTCTCCAGGCAGTCGTAAAGTAGTTCCATAAACTAATTCTGCTGGACAACATTCGATATCTTGTTTTATTGCCGAACGTATTCCAAGAAGTACAAGAGGTAATTTATCGCTCCATTTATCATCATCCTTCACTGCCATCAATGATGCTTTCAGTTGACGATGTTATTTCAACCTCTATGCCGTCAATGATAGTGGGACCATGTGAGCTAGCTAGTTGTTGTAGGTCACATTTTCGTCTGAAAGTGAAATTTACTACCTGACATTTAGACGGATTCAGCTTAAGACCGTTTGAAGAGGACCACTGACTAATTTCCGACAGAAAGTTATTTAATTTGGAACAATCTGACTGAGAGTTGACATGCATAGAGACAGAGAGGTCATCAGCATACTTGACAAAAGTGGCTACATCAGAATGGGGCAAGTCATGTAAGAAAAAAGAAAACAGAAAAGGAGAAAGAACAGCACCTTGAGGAACACCAGCTAAAGTAAGTGAGGTAGTGGAGGACTTTCCATTGTAGACGGTGTACTGCTTCCTATCAGAAAAATAGGAATGCAACCACTTATTTGTCCAGCTCTCAGTCTGTGTTGCAGCAAGCTTACTTAGCAAGAGAGACCTAGGTACAGAGTCAAATGCAGATGTGTAATCAAGGAAGGCGCACCGAACATATTTAGCTCCTCTATCTAAACTAGAGACCATATTATGATATAGAACAACAGCGGCATCTAAGGTACACCTATTATGTGTATAAGCAAACTTGTTGGGGTCATTGAAAGGCTTTAAAGAGGATTCAAGATTAAGTAAAATAAGTCTTTCCATAACTTTTAAAAAAGGTGAGCTAATAGCAATCGGTCGAAACTTAACAGTAGGTCCACTTGTTGATTTAGGCACCGGAACAACCTTGATATTTTTCCATGAGTCAGGAATAATACTTTTGGAAAGAGATTCATTGAAAATGTCGGTTAATGGGTAACATAAGATGTCAGCACACTTCTTAAGGATAACAGCAGGAACTCCATCAGGACCAAGGGACTGAGTAGGTTTGAGAGATTGAAGACACTTAAGGACATCATTCGTGTTAAAACATGAGAAGCAGTCATTATTTATACTATTAGATTTGGGAATCACAACATCTGCAGGGATACATATGAAGGATTTATTAAGCATATCAACATCAACAGAAGTATCATTCATTATTTGCTTACCACCTGTGATTTCCTTTAATAGCTTCCACATATTAGATGAGGATTTACATGAAAGAAACTTCTGGTTATAGAGAGCACTTAGTCTTTGTAATTCGGCTTTAATCAAAGTGCTCATTCTCTTAACACCAGATTTATTTTTCATTTTGTACAACCTCTTTTTCACGGTGAAGCTTTTTGAGTTGAGAAGAGGAGAAGCCGTCGAATTTTAAGAAGATTGTCTCTTTTGGACAACAAACATCAAGACAGAAATTAAGATAATGTGTTATGTTACTAATTGTGTTATCAAGAGCTTGTTCAGTAAACAGGTCCCAGTTTTTGTCTTTTAACATTGTCCTTAGATTCTGTATGTTGTCATGTGAATAACATCTGTGTTGTGTTTTCTTTCCAAGGTAGGAGAAGACCCTTTTGTGCTGCTTTCCATATACTTTGGGCAATACTCTTATGATGCAGTGATCACAATTAAGTAGTGGGACTCTTTTCCGAGCTTCAAATATTCCTATGTCATTTGTAAACACAAGATCTAGAGTATTTTCCATTCGAGTCGGGAAGTTGACAATGTTATCATGACCAAGTGAAATAAGGAAGCTGTGATCACTAGAATTGAAATCTCCAGTAACTATAGACAAGGAGTTTCCGAAGGAGGTGGCAGCAAGGGAGGTAAATTCATCCGCAAATAAAGACAATTCAGTGGAATTGCATCCAGGCGCAATATAAATGTTCGAGATGTATATGTAGTTATATTTTGACAAATGTTTAGGTCGACATTTAACGGTGAGGCAGTCAATATTTTCACTAGAGAATTTGAAACATACTTTATTAGATGTACACTATTGTGAATTAATGAAGATGGCGACACCGCCACCACGTTTCTTCCTAAAACTACACCGATCTTGTCTGAATAATTTGAAATCATGCAGATACACTAGATTGTCATTGTATAGATCATGTAGCCATGTTTCTTGAAGTGATATGATCCCAGTATTTCGATATATAATGGAAGACACGAGTGATTGAAGACAGTTAATCTTGGCTGGCAGGGAGCTACAATTAGTACTCATAATTGCAGGAACAGTCATAAATTGAATAGGGGTATTTTTTAAAGGCTCTTTGCCACCCGGCATGATGCTTTTTTTGTCTTTTTTATGGTATTTCCGATCAGTAGGTTTTAAGAATATTAAATACTCACCAGAATGAATAATCCGATTAGAGGACATATTTGAATAAGATTTAATTATTTAAAATGAATTGGAAATGAGCAATTAGATGCAATATGATTTGTAATGTATTCCTAGACCTAACAATCTGTTGAACTCTGCTTTTGCTATTTGCATTTTAGCTAGATTTAAACGACGTGGTTTTGCTGTGACAGGTGGACCTTTAGTTACAATATGGTGTGTTACGTTGTGTTTGAGAGAGGCTGTGGAGTAATCGCTCTCTGTCAGTTCAGGAAATTTCTTTAGCAAAATATCGTACATGGATAATTGATCTGCTGTGGCTACCATCAAGCGGATACTCTCGACATCTGTGAAGATGCCTGAAATCGATAGTTTACGACTGCTATTTATCAATCTGTGGTAACTAGAGTCGACTAGCAATTCGTAGTGTTGAAGAAAATCCACCCCAATGATAGGAAAGGTTATATCGGCGATTACGAACTCCTACTCAAATGGTGTACTGCAACCAAAATTAAGTTTTTGTTTTCGAGTTCCAAAAGTTTTTATAGTAGAATTGTTCGCAGCCTCAAGAACTGATGCTGGATTTGGTTGTAAGCGTTCGCTGGGTGTTGGGGGAACTATACTAATTTCTGCACCGGTATCTACCAGGAATTGTGCCCCCGTTATTTTGTCTGTCACCCTGAATAGACGGCTGTGGGACGGGTGTTGGCCAGCGACCGCAGTCGTCACCGACCGCCGGCCTTTTCGTTTCCCGACACCACCGTTTGTTGGAAAACACACGGTTGTGTGCACCGTTTAGCGTGTATACCAAATTCGCGATGATACCAGCATATAGTCTGTTGTAAGCTATATTTACGTCTATTGCGTGAGTGGCTACACTGTCTTCTGTACGTTGTAATAGGTTGTCTATTAACCCTCATTGTCATTAATTGCTCGGTCAGAACGTCTATTTTATGTTCTAAGGCTTCTATGCGTTCGTTTGACAATTTGTCGACTACAGATGTTACTTGTGGCGAAATCCGTTCATACATTCTGTCAGCGATTTCTGCCAACTTGTCAATATTTATGTCTTCATCTCCAAATGCTAATACTTGTTGAATGTTGTGGGGTAATCGCCTTAGCCACAATTGATAAAAGAACCTGGTGTCTACCTTCCGATCTTCTAAAATGTTACACATATGGCTTTTGAGTTGAGAAGGAGTTCTATCACCTAGACCAACATTGCTGAGCAGCTGATCAATAGCTGTCTGATCTGATAATGAAGCAACCTTAATAACCTTCTGCTTTAAAACATCGTAGGGAGTTTCTGGATCTGGATTTATGAGCGTCTCCCATACTCGCTCTGCTACACCGTCCGGTAAGATGGAGCTTGCATAGCCAAATTTTGTAGTCTGAGAAGTGACGTGGTTAGCTAGGAAGTAGTATTCTAGACGAGTGAACCACAAATATGGATCATTAGGTTTAAAAGGTGATATGGATATGGTAACTGCAGCCACAGACCTTGTACTTGAAGTGTCGTTATCAGTATT